GGGAGCCCGGAACCCTCACCTGCCCCACATCTATTGCTCTTTCCGGACAGTAGTAGAAATTTCTACATCCTCCTTCCTTTCTATCTCCGTTACGCCTTTAAAAGTCTTTTCCTCCTAAGATGAATCCAAGCTCCAGTCACACAGCTCTCCTGAACGGGAGACCCTTGACACTTGCATCACTCTCTTTAAATCCTCTCTCGGAGTTCCAGCAACGCCCCCTTGTGGCTGTCTGCGCGTACGTGTATGGCTGCCACCGGGTAACAGCACAGAGCTGTCTTCAGCATCTCCTGGTCCATTTTGCTCCATTTTCTTCCCCTCCCTGGCGTCTTGGGAACTCATGCTTCTCTCTGAGCACCCAGAGCCTTCAGATTCGCTCACCCTTGAAATCTTGAAGAATCCAGTCTCACAGACCTTTCATTCCCTCCCAATCCACCCTGATGCCCTTTACTCATCTTATGTCCCATTCTGCCCGTCTCTCTGACATGTGAAGGGAGATTACCCTTGCAAGATGATTACCCTTCCAGGCACAGGAAATAAAGAGTTTCACTTGTAACCTTGCCTAAATAATATTTGCTCTTTTATAATAGCAGCTTCCGATGTGTTAATCCAAAGGAAATTCCAGTACCATGGTAAGATCAGGGATTCTCTTCTGATGTCCCTCAAATCACACAGCTACATTGAGATGGGCTGTGTCAGATTAGTTAAGTGTTTGCTGGTAGCAAGCAACAGAAACAGACCCAGCTGAGGGGAGTTACAGGAAGGCTAGCAGGAGCATGACGTAGATGAAAAAGACCAGAGAGCTGGCTTGGAAATGGGCTGCAGGCTGGAAGCAAAAAGTCATGGGAAAGGAGCCACTGTAGGAATCGTCTGATAAGGACACCACCCTTGCCAGAATGATCTCTCACCATGTTCAGTCTCCATATCACTGTGGTCTAAATTTACATTCCAAGGAGGGGTGTACAATCAGCCCACCACGGGTCATCTGGCTGCCCCTGGTTAAGGCAGTAAGGTACCTAATTATCTGTTGGGTAGGTGGGCGGGAAGGTGGGCTGAAAGCTGGGTAGTCCAAACCCACCTAAGTGCACTGTGTGAACCTCGTAGTGTAAAAGCTGGGATTGAGTACCTATAATTATCTCAGGCAACATACAAGCCTAAATGACTGCTCGCTAGTGACAAAGGAGTTGGCACCTTCATTGTCTTTAGCAACCAGAAACCTAGGTGAGGTTTGAGTCAGGTTCAAAATAAAGAACTGATATAAACACTATTATGGGACTGGGAGTAGTGACTCATGCCTGTAATCCTAACACTTTGGGAGGTTGAGATGGGAGGATCACTTGGGGCCAGGGGTTTGAGACCAACCTGGGCAACATAGCAGGCTCCGTCTCTACCAAAACCCCCCAAAAAACAACTAGCCAGGCATGGTGATGTGCACCAGTAGTCCCAGCTACTCAGGAGGCTGACATGGGAAGATCCCTCGATCCCAGGAGTTTGAAGCTGCAGTGAGCTATGTCTGGGTGACAAAGTGAAACCCTGTTTCTAAAAAAAGTACATACCCCAAAGTGAAATCATTAGGCCATAGGCCTAGAATGAGGGGTATATTAGTTTTAGTTGACATTGCCAGTTTTCCAAAGTGGTTGTTCTAATCGACACTCCCATCAGCAATGTAGCAGAGTTCTAGTTGTTTCACATCCTCAACAACAGTTGGATCGTCGGTCCTTTTATTTTCCTTTTGGCAGACAATATGGTACTCAGTAGCCACAGGTGTCTATTGAGAATTTGACTTTTGGCTAGTGCACCCAATGAATTGAATTTTAAATTGCATCTAAATAGCCACAATACTATAGTGGTCCTACATTAGCTTGCCTCTTACTTGAAATAATGTTTTGGGTTTTTTTTCACATCAGAGGAAGAGCCTGGGTTGTTTTTGTTTTTAGACTTTTGACTAATTTCTACTTTTTTTCTTCAGTACACAGTTCATGGGAAGTTGGTTATTATAACCCTAGAAGTTCTACTGGCAGAGTTTCTGAAATAACTTCTAGTTTCTAAACGAACTCCTTCAGGTTGGGTCTTTTGTAGTTTAAGCACAATTGTTTTGACAACGGTTAGATATTTTAAGAATTGAATGTTACAAATCTGATCACAAAGAAAGCGTTCTTCCTTTGTCACTATTTAAAACTGGACAGGATAGTTCTGGAGGCCTGTAGTGCTTTGTATTTTTATTTATTTATTTATTTATTTATTTGCAGTTTTTGGCCAGTGCTGGGTTTGAACCCGCCACCTCTGGCATATGGGGCTGGTGCCCTACTCCTTTGAGCCACAGGCACCACCCGTGCTTTGTATTTTTAAATGAGTATTTCCAAAGGCAAGGGTACCCAGGAAAGGAACAGAAAAGTAACAAAGGGAGAGAAAAGACTATGAAGGCGTGTTAAATTTATAATAATAGGCAGGGCCCATTGACCTAAGGCTGCCTCTGTACTTTGAGGTCCTATGCAATGAACTGCAACCTAACTGAGTATGTAAATAAACTAAAAACTTAACCTAAGAGTATAATAAACAGCCAAATCTCAGCCATTCACAGGCTGCCAACTGATCAGATCATGTCAAAATAAGGTGAAGGCCAAAGCTGCAACCAATCAACCTATTTCTATGTTACTTCCCTTCTCTGTAAAAATTCCCAGTCCATGCAGCTCTCTAAACCTCTTCTGGCTCTGAATGTTGCCCAATTTGTGAATTGTTTTTTACTCAGATGAATTCTGCTAAATTTAAATTGTCTAAAGTTTTTCTTTTAACAGGTAAAAGACTGACAAAGGGCCAGGTATGGTGGCTCACTCCTGTAATCTTAGCACTCTGGGAGGCTAAGGCAGGAGGATCACTTGAGGTCAGGAGTTTAAGACCAGCCTGAGCAAAGGGAGACCCTGTCTCCATTCAAAATTGAAAAATAGCCAGGCATGATGGCATGTACCTGTAGTCTCAGCTACTCAGGAAACTGAGGGAAGGATTGCTTGAGCCCAGGAGTTTGAAGTTGCTGTGAGCTAGACTGAGGCTGTGGCACTTCAGCCCAGGCAAGAGTGAGACTGTATCTCAAAAAAAGAAGATTGACAAAGATTCTTTGCTTGACCAAACTTCAGTCAGGTTCCTGAGCCTTCTCCTAGGCTCATCTGTGCACTTCCTTGTAAAGTCCAGTTTTAGCCAAGAGCCCTGCTAAATCAGCATAGCAAGAAGCACCTGCCCTCAATATCTGATCACTCTCAATATCTGATAAAGGTCCTCATCCTCCACCATTCCCCAGCTGAGGTTTGATCACCCTGGCCTATCTTCAGCAAGAATCCCGTTAGGTCAGTTTAGCCAGCATCCCCCTCACTCTGATGCTTCCTCTTAGTAATTTTCCATTCCTTGACTTCCACCCTGCTCCTTGGCTATAAATTCCAATTTCCAAGACTATATTTGAAGTTGAGCACAGTCTCTCTCCTTCACTGCAAGACCCCGTTGCAGTGGTCCCTGTACCTGTCTCAATGGTCCTGAATAAAATCTTCCTTACTATTTTTTTTTTAAAGACAGAGTCTCACTTTATTGCCCTTAGTAGAGTGCTGTGGCATCACAGCTCACAGCAACCTCCAACTCCTGGGCTTAGGCGATTTTCTTGCCTCAGCTTCCCGAGTAGCTGGGACTACAAGCGCCTGCCAAAACGCCGGGCTATTATTTTGTTGCAGTTTGGCTAGGGCCGGGTTTAAAGCTGCCACCCTCGGTATATGGGGCCGGCCCCCTACCCACTGAGCCACAGGTGCTGCCCTTCCTATGTTTTAACAAGTGCCATTAAATATTTTTTCTTTAAAAGATATAATTCTTAAATGAAATTTTCATTAAAATTTACTATAATAAACATTTTACCCTCAATAGTTTGAAGGCTAGAAAGACAAAAGCAACTCCTTAAGCCAGGCATCCTCAAACTATGGCCCGCCTAGAACATTTATCCGGCCCACTGGGTGTTTTTGCCGCCTGTCCTGCTTAGCAGCCAACTCCTCCCGGGGCCCGCAGTCCGGCCCTCAAACGGTCTGAGGGACAGTGAACTGGCCCCCTGTTTAAAAAGTTTGAGGACCCCTGCAAGCTCTTAGCTACACTTGGGCACTAACAGCTGGGACTTTGTGTTCTGGGGAACATAATTTCACATGACACCAGCATCAGATATGGCCACTCTCTGACGTGATGAGCGAGACAAACTAAGATTCCTTCTCAATCTTGACATGATGAGCGAGACAAACTAAGATTCCTTCTCAATCATATTGGAATCCTGACAAAAAATATAAACACTGTCCAAACCACAAAAATAACCAAACATCCCTTATCCTGGCCAAGGAGTCACTGGTCATAATCTTCCCTCCTTCTAGGCAAAATTTATCATGTGACTTAATCATAAAATCATCCTGCTTCCTGACAGCAATCTAGAGTATTGGATTGGTTACTTTGCAGCAAAAGAGGCTGCCACATTCTCTATTTCAATCATCACTGTGGTGTACTGGATCTTTGCAGGCAAAAGAATGTGCCCAGGTGAGACGCTCAGGATGCACATAACCACTTAATAAACATTTCCTACTTTCAAAGCAACTGATGCATGCTAGGGTGCAAATACTTACAGAATTATTTACTGCGTTAAATAAGTGAGTCACATTTATAAATGTCAACATCTAACCGAGTACTGTGTTGACTGCCTTGATTAGAAGAAGAAAGGGAAAGTCGTAGAGTAGTTTAACAATCCAGCTAAAAAAACCTCAGCAGGATTTCTTTAAATGCAAGCCCGGGGCGCGATCATAGCTCCTCCTCCTGGGAACTGCTGAGAAACTCCCACGGCCGCTGACCGCTCCACGCAGGCGCCATTTCCCTAACACGCATGCGCTGGGTCTCAGGAACTTGTGAGCGAGTTAGAGGCTTGGATTGGTTGAGCTTTCCGTCATCCCGCCCCGGAGACCGGAAGTTTTCTGGGGACGCTGGAGCCGCTGGGGGCTGCTGGATTACGGCTGCGCTTCTCAGTGAGCCGCGCTTCAGGTTTGTCAGGGCCTGTGCCCGGCAGAGGGCGAGCCCTTGCTTCCGGCGGAGGCCACCCCCGCCCGCGGAGGTACTCCGGTGCGCCCTGAGCCGGCTAGGCCCTAAGGTGCCCTCGCCCCGCTCCCTCCTTTCCTGCAGCGGTCGCCCGAACCCTCCGGGCCGCCGCCGCTCTAGCGCTGAGATGGTTAGCAGCTGGCGTGTTGGTGTTTGACCCCACCCACCGGAACCCAAATCCCAACCAGACCCGGCCCCTGGGCCGGTCCCTTGCGCTCACTGCGCCTTTACTAAGGGTCGTCATTACAGGGAAGGGCTCTATCGCAGTGCTCAGTGTCTGTTCAGAAACTGTAACTTCCCTGCCAGCATTTGGCAGCATTTCTCTCCAAAGAGGAAGGTGCTCCCTGTGAAGCGGGGGAGTTGTGGATGGGTCAGGACTAGAAAATTTCTGCTTAGGTTTTAAAAGAGATCTAAACAGGTCTAGGTTCCTACTTGATTTGTTTTAAAAGAGATCTGAACAGGTCTAGGTTCCTACTTGATTTGTTTTAAAAGAGATCTGAACAGGTCTAGGTTCCTACTTGATTTGTTATCATATTCTGAAAGTTTTGCCATGATCTTTTCATATTTCTCAGAAGTTTTTAAGGCAATGTTAATATAGATATGTACTCCTTACCTATACCTTAATATTAATATTTATAATGTAAGCTTTTATATACATCCAGTCAAATATTAGGTCCTACTATTGCTGGTACTGTATAAATTTTTTGGTGTATGTTCACACTCTGAGTATAGGGGTGTATCTGGGCATTATTCACATTAGCATATGTTCTGGAACTGTGCTATCCCATGCCTTACACAAGGTTTGAGCACTTGAAATGTGGCTAGCATGAACTGAGATGTGCTGTAAGTGTAAAACAGTGAATTTTGGAGAGTAAATACAAAAAAGAATGTAAAGTACTTTGATTTGTTTATATCACACATTGAGATGATAATATTTTGGATACACTGGGTTAAAATATACTTAATTTCACTTATTTTTTTTTAACATGGCTACTAGAGAATTTTAAATTACACTTGTGGCTAGCATTATATTTCGGTTGGCCAGCACTGCTCTAGAAAGGGGTCAACAGACTATGGCTTGCAGCCAAATCCAGCCTGCCTAGTTTTGTAAGTGTTATTGGAACAAAGTCATACCCATTTATTTATGTATTTTCTGTGTCTGCTGTTCTGCTACAAGAGCAGCAGAGTTGAAAGTCCATACAGAGATAGTATGGCCTGTAAAGCCAAAATATGTACCGACTGACTCTCAACAAAAAAGTTTGCTGACTCTTTGTTCTGGAACAGTGGGGTTCTCAACCTTCCTAATGCTGCCACCTTTTAATACAGTTCTTCATGTTGTGGTGACCCCCAACTATAAAATTATTTTCATTGCTACTTCATAACTGTAAGTTTGCTACTATTATGAGTCGTAATGTAAATATCTGATGTGCAGGATGGTCTTAGGTGACTCCTGTGAAAGGGTCATTCAACCCCCAAAGGGGTCGCAACCCGCAGGTTGAGAACCGCCGCTCTAGAACAATCCTTGGTGTGATAGGTATTTTTAAACCTTTTAATTGTAGGCCCGGGTAATTGTCAGTCAGGCTTACTGCATGACGGGCATAGTTCCAAGCACTTTATAAAGACTATCTCATTTAATTCTCACATGAATCCTAGGATATTGGGTTTCTCCCATTTTGTAGATGAGGAAATCATGGCACAAAATGGTCAAGAAACTTACCCAACTTGCTCCACATCTCTCATTTCTGGGAACTGCACCTTCTAGACCTTCTTTATCCAAATGGCTTGATTCTTCAGACCTACTTGATTAGCCCAGAGTGGGCACCATGGGTTTTTTTGAGCTAGAATTTTTTGAAAGATTTTGTTGAACTCGAATGGCAACAGGCTTGGCCTCCGAGGGAAGAAGCCAAGGGACACTGTGCTTAGGTGCAATGGGTACGAGCAAGCTGGTCTGTAGTGCTTTTCCTGTATGCTTTTCCTTATTTAACAACAAAAATTTGTTGAGTAATAGTAAGCACTAGCCAGGTGTTGGCCAGGTGTGTGTAGGTGAATAAAACAATTTGGTTCTTATGATCTTGTGGGGAGGGCAGATAATAAAAATGTTTTTTAAATGTGATAAGCACCATAAAACAACATAATATGTAAATGATTTTTAACAGGTTTCCTTATCTGTAAAGTGAAGATAAGCCATATCCATATTTCAGAATTATTGTGACGATTGACAGGAGTGTGTATGGCACAGGGAGTTGCTCAATGAATGTCTGTTACCTTCCAGTGAAGAGGTAAGTGAGAGAGGGAGGGAGTATTGGGAGTTTTGTGCATTGTAACATTTAAAACATTAGAGTCACCAGTTGTCCTTGGTACAGAAAATTCTGGGGGACACTGTACACAGCAGGTGTTTTTAATATTTTCTAGTTTAATGGGACTGATCTAACAATATCCAGAGTCAGAGAAGTTCTGTGCATTCAGTCCAGGTGCAAGACCAGAGCTGTCACCAGGCACAGTGGCTCACGCCTATAATCTTAGTACTCTGGGAGGCTGAGGCAGGTGGATTGCCCTGAGCTCACAGGTTCGAGACCAACCTGAGCAAGAGTGAGACCCCCATCTCTAAAAATAGCCAGGCGTTGTGATGGGTACCTGTAGTCCCAGCTACTTGGGAGGCTGAGGCAAGAGAATTACTTAAGTCCAAGGGTTTGAGGTTCCTGTGAGCTATGATGCCACAGCACTCTACTGAGGGTGACAAAGTGAGACTCTGTCTCTAAAAAAACCCCATAGTGTCTTTGAGACTGAGGGCAGCCTCACCGGAGGTCCTGCTTGGGTGGGGGAGTGCCTGTGTGTGGTTTAAAGAAGAATCACCTTGAGAGCTGAAGGAAGAGCAGGTCCTACCCTCATAGATTCTAATTCATTCTATCTGGGATGAGGCCTAGCATTGTTTTGGTTTTTGTTATTTTGTTTCCTCAGATGATTCTAATATGTAGCCAGTGTTGAGAACCACCAATGGTGAGAGATCAGCCAGGCTTAGGGAGCTGCTGGAGCAGAGGCATCTGGCCTAGGAGCTTTTTCCTTGGGTGTTGTGGTGGATACTTGTATGTATGCCGAACTACTTGGGAGGCTGAGGCAGGAAGGTCACTTGAACCCAGAGTTTGAAGTTGCTGTGAGCTAGGCTGACACCAGAGCAACAGAGTGAGACTCTGTCTCAAAAAATATATATATTTTAAAATTAGAATTACCATATGATCCAGCAATTCCACTTCTAGTTAGATACTCAAAAGAATTGAAAGCAGGGTCTCAAAGAGTTATTTGCATACTTTTGTTCATAGAAGCGCTGTTCATTACAGCAAAAAGGTGGAAGCAACCCAAGTGTCCATCAACGGATGAATAGGTAAACAAGATATGGTATATTCAGACAATGGAATATTGTTCAGCTTTAAAGGAAAGGAGATGCTGACACATGCTACAATATGGATGAACCTTGAGAACATTATGCTCAGTGAAATAGACCAGACAAAAGGATAAATACTGGATGATTCCACTTATATGGGGTTCCTAAAGTGGTCCAATCCATAGAGATAGAGACGGAAAGTAGAGTGGTGGTTGCTGAGGGTGTGGGTAGAGAAGGAATGTATGTTATTTAATGAATACAGAGTTTCAGTTTGAGAAGATCAGAAGTTCTGGACATGGATACATAACAATGTGAACGTACTGAACATACTGAACTGTACACTTAAAAATGGTTAAAATGGTAAACTATGGCTTTTATATTTTATTACAATTAAAATTTAAAAATATGAAAGAGAAGTAAATAAAAGAACATGAAATCATGAACTGAAGAGCAATGTTTTGGGATGTTTACATATGAGTACCTTAACTTCTATAGATACGCACGAGTAGAAAGAAAGTGTTGCTGGCAAGACAAACTGCTGCTCTCACCCCACTGAAACCCTGAGCTACAGTTATAATTGCCCTTCAGAATCACCTTGAAACTCAGACCTTCAGTTGAGAAATTCTGACTTAAGTCAAACATTGCTTAACCTTTTTGTTAACTCTAGACCTCTTATTAACCACCTTTTTGAACATCTGGCAAACCTTAATCCTGATTTCTTCAGTAGTAATGTACACAGAATGCAGGAAGAATAAATGTTTCTTCCTTTTAAACAAATTTTCCAACAAGTGCGAGAGGGCTCAAGTGTATTGAGCAGCTTGAAACTGTTATTGTGACATAACTGCATGACTTCCTGAAGATCTGAAGTAGACAATTCTGAGAGAAATGTTCAGCTATTGAGGGGGCAATTTTTTTCTTTTCCTGTGCTGTCTTACCTGCTCTTTATTAAGCCTTTGATTCTTAAGAAGACCTCTTTTACTGTTTTCAGTCTTTAAAAGTGGAATTTTTAAAAAGTAAAAGAATTCTCTTTAAATACTGGTTCTTAATAATTAGGAAAATGATCTTAAGATCCTGAATTACTTAAGATCCTGAACTGATGGCCCCCTGAGTGACTGAATTTTAAACTGACTTTAGGGAGAAAAAAAGGCTGCCCAAGTTTTCTACAGTACAGTCCCCTCTGATGGTAAAAATGTAAGACTTGGTCATTTTTGAGCCATCCCAGCAGGGAAACACCAGTGGGAACCTCATATCTGTAGCAAAGGGTACTTTTGAGATACAGTTTGATGGGAGATGTAACTGTTCGAGATTTAGCAATCGATTTCTGAGGAAATTATGAATGTTTATCTGGATGTGTAGCACCATTAAGGTATAAAACTCATTTCAGATCTAAGATAGCTAGAAGATGATCAGTTAATTTCCCATACCAATTTTCAGTAGGCATGTATCTTAAATGCATAGAGTTTATCATGAATTTCTATTAGGCCAATAACTTTTCTGATTGTGAAAACAATACAGGTTCATCACAGAAAATTTAGAAAAGAATAAAAGAACAAATAAGAATCACCTAAAATCTTACCATTCAGAAAATGCCACTGTAAAATTTTGTGTATCTCTTTTCAGCCTTTTCACATGGCATTTAAAAACAAAATTTAGATCAGATTTTAATAACAGCTTTATTTAGATATAATTCACATACCATAAAATTCACCTGTTTAAAGTGTAGAATTCAGTGGTTTTTTAGTATAAAATATTCACACTTGTGCAAGCTGTCATCACAATCAACTTTAGACGAATGTCACCACCAACCTCCAAGAAAAACCCTGCAGCCATTCCCCCTTTCCCTTCACCCCATTGTCCTTTCCCCAACCTAACCCAAGCAACCACTAATCTATTTTTTGTCTCTAGGTTGCCTGTTCTGGACATTTTATATAAATGAAATCACACAATATGGCCTTTTATGTCTTTTTTCCATAGCATAGTTCTCAAGATTCATCAAGGTTTTAGTATGTATTAGTACTTCATTCCTTTTTACGGCTGAATAATATTCCGTTATGTGGATAGGCCACATTTTATTCATCTATTTATGAATTGATGGACATTTGGGGGTTTTCCACTTTTTGACTATTATGAGTGAATAATAATGCTATGAACATTTGTGTTCTAGTTTTTGTGTAGACATATGTTTTCATTTCTCTTGGGTAGATTTGTGGATCATATGCTAATTATGTTTAATCTTTTGTTTAGGCTCGACGCCTATAGCTCAACCGGCTAAGGCGCCAGCCACGTACACCTAAGGTGGCGGGTTCGAATCCCCAGCCCGGACCCGCCAAACAACAATGACGGCTGCAACCAAAAAATAGCCGGGCGTTGTGGCAGGCGCCTGTGGTCCCAGCTACTTGGGAGGCGGAGGCAGGAGACTCGCTTGAGCCCAGGAGCTGGAGGTTGCTGTGAGCTGTAATGCCACGGCACTCTGCCCAGGGGGACAGCTTGAGGCTCTGTCTCAAAAAAAAAAAAAAATCTTTTGTTTATATAGTTTTACATAGGGATTTGTTTTCACCTCATGTTATGATTATTTTCCCATGTCATCAATTCTCTAAAAACACGATTTTTTTTTTTTGGCCTGGGGTTGGGTTTGAATCCACCACCTCCGGTATATGGGGCCAGCGCCCTACTCCTTGAGCCACAGGCACGGCCCCAAAACATGATCTTAAATGGTTTTATTATTGTATCATGCTAGGAGTGTGCCTTATTTTTAACCATTTTCCTGTTCAAGGTCCTTTCATTTTTTTCTAAGTTTGAAGAAAGTTCTTATATATACAGTCTCCACATCTCTCATTTCCATAAAGTAAATTTATAGAAGTACCATTACTAGCTAAAAGAACATTACCTTTTATGGCATTTGTCAGGTGGTTTCTAGGAAGATGGCATAATTCTCTCTGTAATCACTTCAGCATTGTTAGCCTGTGTATGTTTAATGAAGATTATTCAATATCAAGTGCTGTAAAATGGAGCCCATGGAATTTTTTTTTTTCTGGAGACAGAGTCTCACTTTGTCACCCCTGGTAGAGTGCCATGGCATCATAGCTCACAGCAAAATCAAACTCTTGGGCTCAAGCAATTCTCTTCCCTCAGCATCCCAAATAGCTGGAATTACAGGTGCCTGCCACAAGGCCCGGCTATTTTGAGAAATGAGGTGTCTCTCTGGCTCAGGCTGGTCTCAAACCTGTGAGCTCAGGCAATCCACCTGCCTTGGCCTCCCAGAGTGCTAGGTTTACAGGAGTGAGCCACCACACCTGGCCCAAGCCCACAAATTTTTGAAAAGACAGGGCCTCTGCCATCTAGATGCTTATGTTCACACTTAGACATTTAGATCAGACAGACAAATACAGATCCAGAGATATTATGTAGACAAGGTTACACATTATGAAGGAGAAAAATAGACTTGTTAGATAAACATTTTGCCTCCCAGAATGAGATTCACACAGACACAATCATCAAGAATGATTATTTTTTTACACTTAAAAGTTTTTTAAAAATTAATGAAACCAAACTCTATAGCAGCAGTTCTCAACCTGTGGGTCGCGACGCACAGGAACTGTATTAAAGGGTCACAGCATTAGGAAGGTTGAGAACCACTGCTCTATAGGAACTAGTTAGTCCGAAGTCATAAGTCATCTGGATCATTGAATCTGAATCTTTACCTTGTTTAGAAGACTCAGTGTAGCCTGTTGGGTTTTGGAGACCCAACAGACTTACCTCTGGTTGTGTCCCAACCTATCCTGTCTCACAGTTTCTTGAGGTTGCTTGAGACATTAACAAACCCTTTTTTGTCCTGTTTCTTACTCTTTTTTTGTTGTTGTTGCAGTTTTTGGCCAGGGCCGGTTTTGAACCTGCCACCTCTGGTATGTGGGGCTGGCGCCCTACTCCTTGAGCCACAAGCGCTGCCCTGTTTCTTATTCTTTATATTCAAAAAAGTACCACTTTAAAGATTATAAAATCAACAAATAGTTTAATATATAGCTGAATATAAGGAAAATATAGTCTAGCATTGCTCAGCATTACCATATCGATGCTGACACATGGTGTGATTTCTTCCTCAGCAGGGTCACCAAATTCCACCCAAATGGACTGATGAATCATTGATTTACAAAATTAGAGGTGGAAAACTATCAGATCTTCCAGCAAGCCTCTTTGAGGTAGATGTTATGCAGAAGCTGTTTGCATTGCGACCTTTTTTTAACACTAAGAATAAAACTCTTGAAACTAAACCATACCGTAACCTTGCAGATTCCATTTTCTAACATGTCACCCACATTAATGTTGCACAACTCCTTCGGAAAATACTGTGTAGGTAACTGGCAGAAAGTGCTATTTTACTATCTGGAAACTGCAACTAACAAAGGCGAGCTTAAGAAAACTGAAATCTCTTTTTTCTTTGCAGTTAGAAATAATGTCTGACAAGAGCCAGATAGCTGCTAAAGCTTCCCTTATTGAAGAAGTACTTTCTAAAAGGGATTTTGAAGATCTTGACAACCACCTTACTGAGCTAGAAATGATTTATGTGACTAAGGAGCATCTCCAGGAGACAGATGTGGTCAGAGCTGTGTACAGAGTCCTCAAAAACTGCCCCGCAGTGACTTTGAAAAGGAAAGCCAAGTGTTTGTTGTCAAAGTGGAAAGATCTTTATAAAGATACTCACTTCCAATCAAAGGACAGCCCTGAATTATTCCCTGCAAGTGGTCATAAAGAAGAACATTCAGGACTTTATCATGACCCAAGTCAAGATGAGATATCAGGTGCCTGCAGTTCTAATTTTGTACTGTCATCCCAAGAGGTTGCAAAACTCAGTAAAATCATTGTTCCTGAAAATAGTGCTATTCAAATGGAATGTAAGGAAGAGCATTTGGGGGGTGGTGACCCTAAATCCACCGGCAAGAGATCAGTCGAATTGCTAGATCCCACAACACCCATGCGAACTAAATGCGTGGAGCTTCTTTATACAGCCTTAACTGGTTCTTCCACAGATCAGCCAAAAGCTCCTTTGTGGCAAAACTTTGCAAGAGAAATCGAAGAGCACATATTTACTCGTTATTCAAAGAACATCAAAAAATATAAAACTTGTATCAGAAGCAAAGTTGCCAATTTGAAGAACCCCAGAAATTCTCATTTACAACAAAACTTGCTCTCTGGGGCCTTGTCTCCAAGGGAATTTGCTGAAATGACTGTCATGGAGATGGCAAATGAGGAGCTGAAGCAGTTGAGAGCTTCCTACACAGAATCTTGTATCCAGGAACATTACCTTCCCCAAGGGATTGATGGCACACAGACAAAAAAAATAAGATGCAGGCGCTGTGAGAAATACAATTGCAAGGTCACGGTAATTGCCAGAGGAACACTTTTTCTTCCAAGTTGGGTTCGGAATTCAAACCCAGATGAACAAATGATGACCTATGTAATTTGTAATGAATGTGGGGAGCAGTGGTACCATAGCAAGTGGGTGTGCTTATAAATGTTATCTTAACAAGAGGTAACTCAAGCGAGGCCTTTTTTCTTTTTTTGAAGGCAGAGTCTTGCTCTCTAGTCCAGATTAGAGTACAGTGGCATCAGCCTAGCTGTCAGCAATCTCAAACTCTTGGACTCAGCAACCCTCTGGCTTCAACCTCCTGAGTAGCAGGGACTACGGTTACCCACCACCACTGCCAGCTAATTTTTTCTACTTTTAGTAGAGATGGGGTCTCTCTCTTGCTAGTCTTGAACTCCTGAACTCAAGCAGTTCTCCTACCTCAGCCTCTCAAAGTGCTAGAATTACAGGCACGAGCCACTGTACCTGGTTGAGTGATATCTTTCATTTATACAAATCTCTTGTGCTTGTTTTCAAAATCTTATATATGCTAATCTTAGAAGAAGGAAAGAGTCATCAACTGATGCTCACACCACAGTCACTAAAAGTTATAGTTTAGGGAGAGAGTGCATGACTATTTGCATTGTACTTTGTGGCCATTTACTATCTCACTATACTTAGAATGTGGGTGAGAGCAGCTGAACATAACCAGGAGCCTGTGAGAAATGCGGACTGTCAGGCCCCACACCACTGATTCTGAATCTTGGCAGGATCCACAGGTCATCCTCCAGAATAGTCTGAGAAGTGCTGCTTCAGCGGTATGCCTGTGGTTCTCAGCAGTGACTGTATATTAGAATCACACAGGGAGCTTTGAAAGCCCATTGGTGCTGAGGCCCACCCTAGAACAATTCAGTCAGAACCTGTGGTATGGAACCCAAGCATCAAACATTTTTTTTTCATTATTCAGTTTATTTTAAGTTGCAGTAAGAGTTGAGAACTACTGGTAAATGGGCTCTCATTTGATCCTTTTTGAAGCTCTAAGAAAAGTGTCATTCTGGACACTTCACAGATGAGGAAACAGATCCACAGAGGTGCAGTGATTTGCCCAAGCTACACAACCGTAAATAGCCCAACTCAGATCCCAGATTTTCTTTTCCAAATCACTATCCAGCCAGGCACGATGGCTCACCCCTGTAATGCTAGCATAGCACTCTGGGAGGCCGAGGCAGGTGGATCGCTTGAGCTCAGGAGTTTGAGATCAGCCTGAGCAAGAGCCAGACCCGTCTCTACTAAAAATAGAAGAACTAGCCCCGCATTGTGGTAGGCACCTGTAGTCCCAGCTGTTGGGGAGGCAGAAGCAGAAGAATCTCTTGAGCCCAAGAGTTTGAGATTGCTGTGAACTAGGCTGCTGCCATAGCACTCCACTCGGGGTGACAGAGTTTGACTCAAAAAAAAAAAAAAAAAAGCAAATTCTCTATCTACCACTGGCTCAATATTGACTTTAAGAGAAGTGTTTTCCTAGATGTGGGGAACTGAATGAACAGTGTCTTTAGGCCCTAACACTGAGTCTCTACTCTTTTCCCCCTCTCTTCACTTTACTAGTCTCCCTTCATCCACAAAAGTTACCCTGTAACTCATTCCACAGTTAGAATTTGGTTTAGAGCCCTTTTACTTAGTTGAAGGAGCTGTGTATTTTTCTTTTTTGTTTGCACAAGTTCAGGGTAAATGAACTCTAACTATGACATTCAGTTTCCAGTGTTAGGAACCTTCATGTTCTCAAGGGCATGAGTGTTAGGTCTGAAGTTCACATTCTGCTTATGTAAAAATGGGCATTAATCTGTCAGAGTTTAATGAATGAAGAGGAAATTACTTCTCTGAGGCCTTTGCAACCGCTATTTAACCAATTTACGTAATTGTTTAACACAAGACTTCTACATAATTAAGGCTAACTTTTTAAAAAATCAGAGAATGTTTATTGTTTCTACAGCTTTAAAAGTTTACCTCTGAATTATCTGCACTCTACATATTTTCACTTTTTAACCAGTTCTCCTAATTCTCCTAACTTCCTTTGTTGGATCTCCAAAGGTATAACCATATGTATACTTTACCACAGAATTCGCTAAAAGGTATGTAAAACTAAAATACATTTGTGTTTTCAAATGATTTTCAAAGAAATTGGCTTGAGGCCATCAAGTGTGAATTCTGTTTTGATGTCTTTTCTCCCTATGACTTCTCAGGGCCCCTTATTGTGACACAACATGTTAGTGTTTCAAAGAGTAATTTGCAAAGTCATCTAAAACTTAAAGTTTCACAATGTGTGGTTTCATATGACTTGGAATGATCTTTAGAACTATTCCGTGGTTTTGAAAGCACGGCACATGAAAACCAAGTTTGATTAATTTAAGTCAGTGTTTGCATTTTGGTTTGGGGAGTTCTGTATGGGTATTGTTTTTATTTATACTGGAATTTTACAAAATAAATTTGCAGACAAATAAAAGCACTTGAAATGGAAATTCCCTTACTCTCCAAGATATAAAAATATGCACGCTCTTCCTCATTTCATATCAACTTTTGTCAGTTTTGCAACTAGAAATAGGAAAATAGTGATCTGGGATTTTTCTTTTGGTCAATGAGAAAGCATTATATCTTCTAATTATAAATAATCATTTTTTCACATCCTATGTCTTATCTCCTAACAGAAATGATTTTTCTTTAAAATTGCTTGTGGAGGTAAAGACTCTTTAATTTAAAATCTCTTTTACCAACACAGCAAGTGCAAAGACCCTGAGATAGGAAAGTGCCTGGTCCAGTCAAGGTACACCAAGAATCCATCACAGCCTAGGTCCATGAAGCAAGGGAAAGAAGGATGAGAGAGGAAGTCAAAGAGGCCATCATGAGGGCCCTTGTAGGTCATGATAAGGACTTTGGATTTTTTAAAGAAAACATAATGGGAAGCCACAGAAGCTGGAGACTTTGTGATGAAGAGATTTGAATGTCTTTTAGGAAAGATCACTCTGGCTGCTCTGTTGAGTTAGATGCGGGAGGGGGGAAGCTGGGATGGATGCAGAAATACCAGTTAGGTGGCTGATGCAATGGGCCAAGTCTCACAGTTGGCTTCAACCAAGAGTACACAAAGACTAAACTCCCTGAATCCTTATGGTCAATAAAGTCCTTGGCAATTTTGCAAATGCATGTTGCGTAAAATACATCTAACCCCAACTTCCCTACCTATCATAAAAAAATAGTGCAGAAATTCAGCACCAGTATACTCTGTATTCTGGTTGCCATAGTTCCCAGAGTCACTGCATAGAGCAAAAACATCAGTTGTTATACCTAAATGCAGGAGGACTCTCTTGATGGGTTTTCCCACATCACTCTTCTTTTGTCCCGGTTACTTTTTTTAGACAAAATGTTGGATACAATTGCAGCTCTGTCTCTTCCCTGAGCACTTCCTGTGATGAGAAGCTTCTTTCATTCCCCATTGCCATTTCTAAATACCATCCAGGAAGCCTGCAGCTGGCAGCGCTCCACTGCCTTGGCAAGGGCTAGGCCTTCATCTTCGAGGTCAGATTGTTTTGTTATTTATAACTTCCCAGTAAATGCAAAATATTTTACTAAAATAGGTATTCTTTTTATCTCTCCGAGGTACTTACTGTAAGTGCCTAGATTATAGAAGACTCCTTGCTTTCAAAAGAGCTGTACAGGCGGAGGGGAGAACAGATGACAACCTCATATGATCCCATTTGCATTATTATTTAAAATTAGGTCTCCAGAGATGTTACCATGTAACTGCTCTGCAGTTATGATTGTACCTTGCTTTACCATTTGCCAGGTGCTGGAGGCAAAGAGATGATTAAGATACGGTGCCAGACCTCACAACCCACAAAATGTAGGTTAGGTGCCATGCGATGTAGCAAGCAATCCTTTTCTATTTTCAGAACTATGAGAGAAACATGGACTGGAGAGTTGGGGTGCAGGGGACCCTAAAAGATTGACTAACCTCACGTGGGCGGGTCAGGGAAGGCTATGAAGCCATGACCCTGAGGGTAAATCTTGGGAGAAAGATGTCTGGGCAGATGAAGGGGGAAAGTATACTTCTGTATGATATTTGCTAAATTTTTGGCATTTTAAAAACAGCATCTAAAGTGGCGTCTGTGGCTCTAAGGACTAGGGTGCTGGCCCATATGCCGGAGGTGGTGGGTTCAAACCCAGCCCTGGCCAAAAACTGCAAAATAAATAAATAAAATAAAAACAGCATCTCATTTAATCTTCACAACTACCTTGCCACACAGCATTTTAGAGATGAGGAAACAGGCTGACAGAGATTAAATTACATGCTCAAGGGTACACAGGGACAAGGCCAGGACTACTTCATGATAAAGCAGGTGGGTTCACGGGGCGGGGGGGGTGTATTTGTTTTGTATATCAGTTTGCTTCCAGAAGCAACACCAGGCTTCCCAATAATTCCAGGCAAGATGCAGCTGTTGGGTTTTTTAAATTGTGGTTCTTTCCATGGCCAGGGGATGGGGTTTGTGGACTCCACCTTGCCCTGGCATGCTGTGCTTTTCTTCTGAAGAAGAGATTGAGTGGGACCACATGGCATGGGTTGCTGCCTCTGCTGGCACAGGGGAAACTTCCCAAACCTTCTGTGGCATCCATGTGGTTTACCTGGCTTTCTGCACAGTGAGTAATTTTTTAAATATTGAAATTTTAAAATATAAGAACATGTAGCTTTTTAAGGGACATTTACATGTTTATATTTTTATGAATTCGAAGACTATAAATACTATAGTGTTTATAGTCAAATACTATAGTATTTGGCAAAAGTGGAAACCTAATATACACATGTATATGTAAGAAAAATAAATTTTAAAAATACTATAAGACTGTAAAAGACTATAAGTACTATTTTCCACAAAATAGAAGGCCTTTCTGGCTTCATGGTCTGCCTGTATTACCTAGGGAAATAACAATCAATTATGGAAAAACTGACAAGGCACATTGCATCCTTTGTTAAATTATTGTAAGTGCACTACAGCTGTGATCCCTAAACCCCAGGCCACAGACTGGTTCTAGGGCCTGTTAGGAACCTGCCCACAGCCCACAGAGCAGGAGGTAAGCAGCCACTCTCCATCACTCACATCACCTGAGCTCTGTCTTCTGTCGGATAGGCACTAGCATTAGATTCTTATTGGAGCACAGACTCTACCGTAAACTGTGCACATGAGGGATCTA